GCATTTCAACACAAAATAACCAAATATTCTACCTTCTCCACATCCCTCTGGCTCTTGGGAGCTTCAACATTTTCTACATCACCAACGTCTACCTCACCATCGAAGAGATCACTAACAAAAAGATATTGGTATACATGAAAATATCCAATGAAAGAACTAAGCCAGCAAGGTTACTTACATCAAAAAAAGCTGACTCACCGTATATTATCAGACTGTTTGAAGAACTCCGGAGTGAATCCAGCCTCATCAATCGCCATTTCACCTAGTCTACGTTTCTGGATTGCTTTGCGCAAAATGTTTTCTTCTATGGTTCTTTCTGAGATCAAACGGAAAATCGTTACATTTCGAGTTTGTCCAATCTATAAATCATATTTTTGAACTTAAGAATTTTATGCTGAAAAAGTTCCAATATCTAACCCTATGACATCGATCCTGCGCTTGGGCATCCATCGTGGGATTCCAATCAGAATCATAAAAGATCACAGTGTCTGCACCGGTAAGATTGACACCGATACCACCAGATCGAGTTGAAAGGATAAAACAAAAAATTTTAGCATCCGCATTAAATCTTTCCATCATTGCCTAAACATGTTGAATATAGCCAATCCACGGAGAAAAGAAATTTTTATGGAAGAAGAAAGAGGAGCGAAAGCAGAAACCAACCTGCCGCTGCTCTATACCAGTAGTGCCATCTAGCCTGAAGTATTGATACCCGTGATAAGAGAGAAAAGCTTGCAATACATCTAACATCCGCGACATTTGAGTGAAAATCAGGCAACGGTGTTTATTCACATACAAGCGACGTAGTAAACGCGCCAAAGCTTGCAATTTCCCTTTAAGATAATGTTTTAATAAGGCGACAGAAGAACGAACTATCTACACTCACCGCAATCATACTCGATAAGGCGAAGCTCAGGGAACTGCAGCTGAGACGAAACAAGAGCTACATGTGTCAGGGGATGCGTCATAGATAAAAAGTCTCGAGATGCAATTGAAAGTTGCTCCTGCATGAAACGTACGACATTTCCTCGTCCCGTATATGAGCTCCACAGCTGCGGTGAATCGGCGACGGCTGGACTAACCCACATCCAGAACCTAGATAAAAAAAAACTCATGAAAGGGTCAAAAGATGGGAGGAAGCATAGATGTACTTTTATCTGGATGATCATTTCATAGCCAACGAAAATGTGAGAAAAAATGGTCAAAAAGGCAAAGAAAGGAATGAATAAAGGCCCGAGCAACAAGTAAAATTTGTAAGAGTGTTAAACGTTTTGATTTTTTTTTCAAATAATTCTGATGGATTCGAAAACGGATGCAAAACAGTAAAACGACAAGAAAAATCTTCCAAATTCGCAACACAATAGCATAGACGAATTACAAAAAAAAATATATATATATATATAATCACTAGGAAAACAATGATTACCCCGAGTTTTTCCTAACAGATTTGAGTGCCTTTTCTATATAACATAGCTACAAGATATTCTGCATAAAACCAACCGTTTCATTGCATATTCAGTCCAACAAGTGAGTTGTTCACGAATGTCGGGAGAAATTGAGGTTTCATCGTATGATTCATGAGCCTCCTCCTCCCCTTCTCCTGGTAAACCCACCTTAAAAAAGCCCACTGATTGCAATAAAAGAAAAAAATGTTGAACCCAAGATTTCCCAAACTAACCATTGATGGAACTGCCTTCGTTAGCATAGAAATCAGTTGTGTAGAATACAAAGGGCTTTGTTTGCATTCGAAACGCTCCACAATTCTTTGCAACCTCGACCGGTTATTTACCTCCATGCGTTGCAAAACTTCAACCTTGAATTTCAGCGTTTTCATAGTAACAGCGCGGCAAATTTCAAAAACGCTGAGAAGATAATTACAGCGAGAAAGTATTAACCGGAACTAAGTCAGCAAATTCTCCATCGACAAGTTGTTTTTCGGGTGAAATAGCCCGGCGTTTCTTCAATGGCGGACTCAGTCGTGCGGTCAACTCCTCAATCGTTTCGCCAACGTCGTTACACTCGTGAGTGCCACCATTCTGCATCGTGTGGTGAAAACCAGTGGTTGTAGTTGACACTGTCAACGGCGCCACTTTTGAAACAGACGTTGAACATCGAAGAAATGGCTAAAAGATGATAGCTTTAACTGTGATATATCTCTCCACTCAAATGAATTTGGAGAAACTTACATGAATGCTCAAACACGATTTATTTGCAGGCTTGCCATATGTGATTCTGTCGGACTTAGCGGTATCCACACTAGATGTTATGGACGCTGTTGAAGCAGCTCTACCCGGCATTGCTGCCATAGCTGCTGGTGCAGGATTAGCCACTTGAGAGACAGGTACAGGAGCATTTCCACCACCAGATTGCTCTTCTGCCCTCGTCACTTCTCGTAGTGTTTTCTCACCATTGGTACCCGTCACGACCTGAAATATATTCGAATTTATTACTGCTACCAAATCTATACCAAGGCAATTTGCAAAAATCAATCAAAGGGAAACTCAGTATACGAATCTAGGTCTTTAACAACTACTTAGTAAGTCGTACTAAAACATTACTACCTGACAAAGCTTCGCTTCTCGCCCTTGTTGTTTTAGACCGTCTGCGTCCAAGATCAGTCGGCCATCGTCTACTCGCACTCGCATTGGAACAGGAGCGCCTCAAAAGCGTAGACCGTTTTTACTTCACAAATTTTAGCAATTTGAAAAACATTAAAACTTTTTTGACAAAAGATAAAATAGTATGTGCATTTCCCAAAAAAGATACACAGTAAATCAAGCGATAAAGAGAAGAGAATAACCCAAAAGACTTACCTCCGCTGTTTCCTAAGATGCTCTCAATATCATCACCGTCTCGCACAACAAGTACCATCTCATTTTGAGCAAAACCGGCCTTCTGCAACTCAGCTGCACTTACATCCACCACAGAAGCAACTTCTGGCGAAAGGGAAGTACTAGCAGCACCCTAAATTTTTTTTT